CTCCTGAAGCAGTGATATCTTCAGGTTGTCGCCCTGCCTGAATGACCTGTGATCAGCAGACAATGCCTGTGGGCGATCAGTTCAATCATGATATCTTCAGGTGGTCGCCCTACCTGAATCGATTAAAATTTGATCCGGCTTCAGCCTCTTTTTTTTTTTTTTTACACGAATAGCCCTTATGTAAACCCTTTATCCCGGCGGTGGTAAGAGAACCGTCAGGATTGAGGGTTTATCTGTCGGGCTGCTCCATCTATTGGTGGGGAGCTGCACCTGCTGGAAACCGGGTCCAGCGTCCCTGGTACACCAATGATCCAGTGATCAGCAGACATGAGTTGGAATCGTGACAGAACGGCTACGGACAATGTACCTGACCGCAATGACGGCCAGACCTGAGTCAAAAAAGTCATAATAACGGTATAACACACACAAAAATAAGCTCAAATAAATACAACTTCCAACTTCCAAGGCATTGGGGGGAAGATGAGATGCTGGGTCCTTGTGTTAGTTGGGGTCCCATGGGCGGCCAGAACCCTGCCAAGGTGCAACATGCAATACCTTCATTGTGAGGTAGCTATGATTGCAGCTGTCCCCTCTATAGCCTTAAGGAGTAGCGGTAGGTAGGTCGTGAAGCACGTGAGTGTCATCCTTGTGCAAGGCCATGGCAATCTTCTCTGTACGACTCCAATTTTAAGGGTGTCACGAAGGACCGTGGTGAAAGGTGAAGTAAGAGAAGAATGAAGCTTAGTCAAAACAAAAAGGGGGCAGCTGCAAAAGCAGTGTACCTCTTGGCAGCCAACAGGGCCTTCCGGGTCACCTTGGTGTCAAATAAAATCAACATTACTCAATAGCAGTGTCCATGAGGCCATTGAGGAGGAGCTGCTATGAGCTCCACAGTGGCTCCACAGTACACACACAGGCGTGTCAAGACAACAATGGACGCTGAGTTGGAAAGTAAGATTCGTAACAAAGGGCAAAAAGTGCGGCAGGCCCCGAAATGACCTTTGGGCGTCATTTTTGCACCCTGTTAAACACTTCCCTGCCATTTTTGCACCCTGTTAAACACTTCCCTGCCATTTTTGCACCGCGGGCGTTGCCGGCCCAGCCAGGGTGCAAAAAATGACAGGAAAAGTCATTTTGGGGCCTGCTACACCTTTTGCCCCATTTGGGATGAAATGAATACAAACGCCGGTGCAGCCAGGGTGCAAAAATGACAGGAAAAGTCATTTGGGGGCTTGCAACACCTTTTGCCCCATTTGGGACAAAATGAATACAAAGGTTTCGCTGCGCCTAAGTTTTATAAATAACTTTTCCCATATTTTTGTGTTTACACCCACCCCCTCGTCCTCTCCTTCCTCGGCGGCACGTGGACACATCTTAAAAAAACACCAATGGCATTTTGAATGATGCCACTTCTTTGTCCAAAGCCTGCCCGATGCTACATCGTCCTCCAACGCTTGACTGGGCTCACGACCTGCCCTCGTCAGTCTACATCTGCTTCCTTCTATACCTTATCGGGGTACCTTATCGGTAACCTTATTGGTACCTTATCGGTACATCATGGAGAGCTTCCCATGCTCAGCAAAGCTGGGCAGCAGGGCGAACGGTCCAGTAGTACCTCCGAGTCCCACATTTCGAACACTCTCCTGTGGACTACCAAACTGCTGTGAGGGGTTGGGCCTAACGATGGCAGTAGCTATACGTGCACAATTTGTGCCAAAGGGAAAAGGAAAAAAAACGAGATGACAGTAGCTATACGTGCGCAATTTGTGCCATAAAAATACAATAAAAAACCGACTGGGCGACAACAAAAAAAAGAAGCAGAATGATTAGATTTTCCAGGAAAAGAAAAAAATGGATTTAATTTGATGTGATTTCGTTAATCTACTTGCACGTGGATTTGACGTTGCTTCGCCTGCGCGGTGCACGATGCACCCTATCATCTGTTGACGCGCGATTTTAGAGCTCTCGGGCGGAAAAAGTGTGTGTGTGTGTGTGTGTGTGTGTGTGTGAGAGAGAGAGAGAGAGAGAGAGAGAGAGAGAGAGAGAGAGAGAGGTGCAGAAAGGGGCGCTGGAGATCACTGGGGGAATGAAGTTCGATGTGGGAATCCTTCCCACCCACACCCATCCTCCTCTCTCTCTCTCTCTCTCTCTCGTCATGTCCCTGTAACTCCGACTTTATTCCCCTAGAGAAGTTCTGTTCTCTGCCCAATATATGCTCATGGTGTTTCTTTTAGATGGATTCGAAGTTCATTCTCTCTCTCTCTCTCGCTCTCGCTCTCTCTGACTCTATTCCCCTAGTTCTGTTCTCTGACTAATATAAGCTCATGCGGTTTCTTGTTGACGGATTCGCCATCGCTTCCCTTCAGTGGGTCGATTACGTGATCTAGTCTTCCTCAACCGATAAGGTTTAACAATTGCGTAGCGTGGTAGAACTTTGAATCTCACTCTCCTACTCTCCTACTCTCTCGTTGTCGGCATGGTCGTTCTATTTATGTCCCCTTCCCTCCTTCTCTGTTGTGTGCAGTTCCTCTATTATCGTTGCAAGCCGTCTCTTCCCTCTCACCTGCAACGTGAATGCGACCTGTCACGTGACTGCCATGTACGCAGACTCGATCTGGATGGGTCGGGATTCCGTCATAATTGATTGGCACGGTCCAGAGACGATGATTGATTAGCATGGTCCATCCCCAAGGATGACGCGACGGACATTCACAAAAACAAAAAAAAACAAAAAAAACACACCTTAAAGCCACCGCGCCACGACAAATGAAACAAAACAAAACAAAACAAAACAAAAAACGCCCCGCCAAAAATAACGAAACGGCAGCGCGGGCCACGACGGGCCTTGCAATCGGACGCTTCCAAGTGCAAGATGTTCTTAGCGATCCACGGTCGTCGGCTGCAACCAGCGGAGCTGCCTTCACCGCATGCACTCTCAGATTGTTTCGTTAAAACGCGGTCGTGGCAGTTCCCTGCCCGCAGATGCTTGTCATATCCACCACTGTGTTGCATTCCTCCCCCCCCCCCCCCCCCGCCCCTCGTCCGGCGCGCAGCTCCCCATCCCCCTACCCCCCTACCCCCTTACCACCCGCGGCGAATGCTTGTTAAGGGATTAGGAAGGGTAGTTTATAACTTCTGGGAGAATGAGATGACCAGCTGTCAGTGAGGAGTAACGTCCCACTTGCACGGACTAAGAGCTATGATGTGTATGGATAACGGAAGATCAATGGGCGAATCTATACATAAGTGGGACCTTGCCCAGCATGCTACACAATATCCGCTAAACAGGATGAATCTTCCTTTCTTCGCATGTTCCAAAATATCCGCTAAACAGGACGAATTGTTCCCTTCTTCTTCTTCTTCTCCTCTCTCTCTCTCTCTCTCTCTCTCTCTCTCTCTCTCTCTCTCTCTCTCTCTCTCTCCATATATATATATATATATTGTCACATTGTGAATCAGAGCGCAAAAAAGAGAAAAGAAAAAAGGAAAAGGAAAAAAGGGGGAGGGGGAGGAGGTAAGGAAAGCTCCACCTGTTCATAACCTCTTACGTACAAGGCCAGCCACGTGGATGACAGGTTGAGCGCTGGCTGCCCCATCCCCGTGTGTCACAAGGACCCACTTGCACGCAGCCAAAAGGCAAAGAGGTAAAGAAGGGGAGGAGGAAACCAAACCTGACAGGGAAAGAAAGATAGGGAAAGAAAGATAATCCAATTATCACAAAGCAAATAACACATCCCACAGATCAACGTATCTTTTTTCTTTTTTTCTTTTTTTCTTTCTTTTTTCTTTTTTTCTTTTTTTCTCTTTTTCTTTTCTTCTTTTTTTCTTTACCTGCCCCCACCTCGGCAGATAGGACAGCTACGGTGAGGATGATGTGGATGTTCACAAGGATGCCCAAGGAGAGCTGCGCCAGCACAGCATTCTGCAGGACGGCTAGCACGAACCATCCCATCAAAACAGTCCTGACAGAGGACGTGTTGTCCACATGTCAAAAACACGGCAGGACGTTCATCACAGCGCGGCATCATACAGTTCTATACACTTACCCAAATGATTCCTGGTGCGCTCCTCGAGAGTGTGCCTGAACCTTGCCAGCACGGCCGCCATGTACGCCTCTTTCTCGCCTGTGTATTCGTCTTCTGCCTCTGGCTCTGTGATTGGCAGCGACCTGCACCGCATGGATCGCCGACTGTTGTTGTCCGTCCTCGCGCCCGCTATCGACTGCGGCTTCGCCCCATCACACACTTCCGCTTCCCCTTGCCCTTTCCCCCCTTCCCCTTCCCCTTCCCCTTTCCGCCTCCATCCCCCCGCTACTCCATTCTCTTCCCTCTTGTCTGCCGCGGTCAAGAGATCGAGAATTTTCGGCGATGATCCGTTCTCCGGCAGCAAACTTAACAGCACGTCCTTTTGCAAATCTTCAACGGACAGCTCCCTCGGAAGAGGAAGAGCCTCCTCCTCTCCTGCATAACCTGTCGTAGCACAGCGAACTCTCTCAACCTCCATCGCCGCCATATCTGTGTGCGTGTGTTTCTGTGCGTGATTCTCCGTGTTTGTCTGTGTGCGCTGCGTCTCTGACTCTCGGGCAGACGCACGGGGCCGACGGTTCTAGTCCGGTGCACAAGACAATTCAGGAGCTCAACTTAGTTTTTATTTTTTGTTGGAACTCAAGTTTTATACACTACGTGTGGTGGTGTTGGAACTCAAGTTTTATACACTACGTGTGGTGGTGCTGGCTGAGCACTGCGTAGACTTGCAGAAAACGAACGCCAGAGAGAGAAAGAGTGAAGGCAAGGCAGGACCTCTACTTTTATACACTCCGTGTGGTGGTGCTGGCTGAGCACGCCAGAGAGAGAAAGAGCGAAGGCAAGGCAGGACCTCTACTTTTATCCACTACGTGCGTTGGTGCTGGCTGAGCACTGCGTAGACTTCAGAAAACGAACGAGAGAGAGAGAGAGAGAGAGAGAGAGAGAGAGAGAGAGAGAGAGATTCTGGTGAGCTAGGACACAACACACTCAGAGACGAGAGAAGGTTCTGCTGCACGGCACAAGATTGGATATGTGCACCCTTTCGACAATTAAGGAGGCAGACTCGCTGACAAGGAAGCAGAGGCTTCCAGTTGACCAAAGCTTATCATCAACGGCGATAGTCCGATCCGAGTCTCTTCTCTTCTGCACGCGTCGGAGGCCATGGAAACAAAAAACAGACAAACACATTGCCAACATCGGACATAGTTGGGCCCTACCGTAGCCACGGCCAGGCAGCAGCACCTGCTCTGACACGCAGGGCTTCCTTCCGTCCGGGCAGGGCTCCTGTGTACTTGTATTCGAAAATGCGGACCGTCTGTCCCCTGTGTATCCGAAAAGGCGGACCCGGGCCTCCTGTCCCCTGTGTATCCGAAAAGGCGGACCCGGGCCTCCTGTCCCCTGTGTATCCGAAAAGGCAGGCCTGGGCCTCCTGTCCCTGTGTATCCGAAAAGGCGGGCCTGGGCCTCCTGTCCCCTGCGTATCAGAAAAGGCGGCCCGGGCCTCCTGTCCCCTGTGTATTCGAAAAGGCGGCGCGGGGCCTCCTGTCCCCTCGGCATCGGAAAATGCAGCCCGGGGCCTCCTGTCTCCTGTGTATCCAAAAATGCGGCCCGGGGCCTCCTGTCCCCTGTGCATCCAAAAATGCGGCCCGGGGCCTCCTGTCCCCTGTGTATCCGAAAATGCGGCTCGGGCCTCCTGTCCCCTGTGTATCCGAAAATGCGGCCCGGGGCCTCCTGTCCCCTCTGCATCCGAAAATGCGGCCTGGGGCCTCCTGTCTCCTGTGTATCCCAAAATGCGGCCCGGGGCCTCCTGTCCCCTGTGCATCCGAAAATGCGGCCCGGGGCCTCCTGTCCCCTGTGTATCGAAAAATGCAGGCCTGGGCCTCCTGTCCCCTGTGTATCCAAAAATGCGGGCCCGGGCCTCCTGTCCCCTGTGCATCGAAAAATGCGGGCCCGGGCGTCCTGTCCCCTGTGTATCCGAGAAGCGGGCCCGGGCTTCCTGTCCCCTGTGCATCCAAAAATGCGGGGCCCGGGCCTCCTGTCCCCTACACATTCGAACATGAGGGGCATCTGTCCACTGTGTATCCGAAAATGCAGGCCTCCTGTCCCCTACACATATGAACATGCGGGGCTTATGCCCCCTGTGTATTTGAACCTGCGTCGGCACAATGGACTCATATTCGAATGTGTAGCCGTGCGGCCATGCGGTGCTTCTGTCCATCAGGGGAGGGTAGCGATGTACTCGTATGGAGAACGTGCAGCCGTGCAGCCATGCAGCAATTATTCGAGAACGTGCAGCCGTGCAGCAATTATTCGAGAACGCGTGTAATAGATGGAGCCATCCAGAACGGGGTCTGCTAATGGGGGATGCTCCTTTTTTTTTTTTTTTTTTTTTTTTTTAAAAACATCGCTGTGTCGAAGATCATGCTAATGGAGGTGATAGGAGCATCCCCCATTAGCAGACCCTGTTTTGGATGACTCCATCTATTGGTGGGGAGCAGCACCTGCTGGAAAGCGGGTCCAGCGTCCCTTGTCACATTTTATAAAAGTTTGAGACATTGACAGTAACACATGCCCATTCGGGAGGATCTGCTTCCTATTGTCGGGGGATAAGCCCGGTTTCACCAGTAGCATGATCCTGGACAGGGCGATGTTTAAAAAAAAAAGAAACAAAAAAAAAAAGAAGAACTGTTGCATTTCAACGGGGCTGCCATGGCCTTGTAGGGATCCTCCTTTTCTTTTTTCTGTTTTCTTTTTCTTTGGCCCAAGGCATATATTTCCCAAACAGACAACAGAGCCCGGCCCCCTCACAGTCTACCCACTATGGCTGGGAGCATTACCCAATTTCGCTTAGGGGTTGGGACCACACCCCTTGACAGACAACTTGCAAAAATTAATTAGTCCCTTAGGGTTTGATCCGACACTACTTACGGAAGACGAATCCGTAAAAGTAACGAAAAAGGTGGGGCCGCTCCAGTCGGGCCGTAAAAGAAAATCGGGACCCCACTGGCCTGTATCGTTCGCAGCATTCACGTGGGTTTCGGCGGTTTTCGTTGGGCGGGTTTCGTTGGGATAGGAAAACGGTCCAGTGGCACGGACACTACCGGGACCGAACGCAGGGGGGCCTGCCGTGCCACACAGCGAACCGAACCAGGGACAAACCAGCCCACCCAAACGGACAGTACCAAAAAAAAAAAAAAAAAAAGTGCCCCTTCTTTTTCACGGCAGGGTACGGGCCGAGCTCTCTTGCATTCTCCTCAATTTTCCTTACATCTTTTTCGGCACCGTTCATTCCCTGCCGGCCACGACGACAAATGTTTCCACTCGCCTCCTAAGTTAACGGGACCTCCTACGAGTTCGGAACACTGTGGGATCCGCGAAAACGCACTTTTTTACTTACCGTATGTAGTGTCGGATCAGACCCTTAGCCATGGAACGACTCGGACGTGAACGGTTGTCTGAAATCTCATCCCGGGCTACCCCTAACACGGGGCAGGGGAACTGTTGCTCCTGAGGAAAGATTTGACACTCCCTCACTTCCCCCCCGGGATCCATACTCCAGTCTACTGTGGTCTGTTTCAAGCTTTTGAGGGCGGTCGAAGAAAGAAACAAGGAAACAACCCTCACTCCACTACTCTCCACATGTATAAAAGACAAAAATTATGGCGGTGGCCTGTGGGCGTATCTCAGTTGGTGAGGCACAGAAGTTGCATTCAGGAGGTCGTGGGTTCAATCCCCATTGGCCTCACGTACGTGTGCAAGCTTGGTGTTCTACCAGCTAGAGATAACGCGTTGGCCCCCCAAGCCAGCATTGGCAGGACCTTGGTTGATGTTGTTGGTTGCTATGCAGCTACAATATTGGCCATTAGACACCGCCATGTGGGGTTTGGGGGGGGGGTAGGGGGAGCAGTGGTGCCAACCTACCCCGTGGGCTGGGGAGAGATCCGGGCTGGTTGGTGTTCCCCCGTACTACGTATACACTAGTGAGAGGATGAGATAGATGAGTACTAGCAAAGAAAAATGAGATAGATGAGAGAAGAATATAGCTTTTAAAAAAAAAATAATAATAATAAATAAATAAATAAAATTATGGCGGTGTATCCCTCCACATTTTACGGTACGATTCCTTCCTTTTTGCAGATTTGGTGAGTAGTAGCTATGGGCCTCTCTGCACTAAGGTTGACACTGGAAAATCTTCAAGGGTCCTTGGAGAGTTGTTAGACTCTCGAAAGCTCTAAAATGTTGTCATTGCTGCACTTAGGGTGTACTCACACAGCGGTGGCATAGCAGCAAAATCTGCAATTGTTTTGCCTGAAACGCCACCCCACCCAGTCACATAGCGCCAGCAAATCAGAAAAGACACGAGCCCGACTTTCTGGCAATTGCCAAAATGGTGCCTCGCATGGTCACACAGCGCGAGGCCCAAATCCTTCAAGTTTTTTTACGGGGTGCACCCCACTGGCCAGCGGCTGGAACCTGGTGTTGGCCACAAAAAACAGCCGACCGAGGTTGGAAAAAACTTGACGCATTTTGAAGGGACCCCACCGCAGACCGATAGTTTTGGCACTGGAAAAGACATGGCATACCCGAATAGGAAAACGCCGAAGGGTGTTTCCCGAAAAGGCAAGTCAGGCGGGTGCTGTGGACCATGGCCTGGTACCGCACTGCTCCAGGACAAGTCTGTGTGTGGCCTTGGGAATACCGTGCGACACCACGGGAAAATACAAATGTCCGCCACGGCCTCCGGGTACACAAAACGGTCCACGGCGAGGGTGCATGGATTACGCCGTGAAGCCCGCGTCTGGAAACTGATGGACATGCCCCCCACCCTGCTCAACCGGCCGCCTCCTTGGAAAGGGTCTGGAAACCGGTCGGCGTCGAATTTCCAGACCACGGACCATGTAGAAACGCCCCATCACCATTTCCGCAACCTCTTTCCAAGCGCAGTGGGGTCTGGAATTCCTTTCCGGGCCGGCTTTCCACACCGGCACTGGGTCTGGAAAACACCCCGGCGCCCAAACTTTTCCAGGAGGAGATCCCACTACCCATGCATTTGGATTAGTGTGATGGGTGCGGGATTGGCAGGAGACAGGTGGGTGGCAGCGTGAAATAGGGACAATGAAACCGAAAAACCATTTCATGACAAAAGAAATGAAGACGAAAATGTTAAAAACAAAACGAAAGCGCTCTTCCCATCATCGTGTCTGCTCTAGGCGGGGTGTCAGATGTCAGGGTATGATTCACTGACCATGACTGTGTCAGTCAAAAAGACTGCATGCGAGTGAGCAAACTGACCAAATTCATTGACAATAGTCTGAGGCTTACTTGAAATGGGCCGCAGTGCATGCTCCTACTTCCCTCTGACAGAAATTCACTTTTGGCAAAGGACGGCAAGAGCAACTCCATGCAGCATGTGCCGTAGGTGAGGGGATCGAACCCCCCCAACATCTCACAAACCACAATCACTTCGGCATGTCTTCCAAGCATGGGCAATTACCCAAAGGTGAGTAGAAGGTGTGTGAAAATCATCACGACAGAAATCGTTATGATCTTCACTCACATTGAGGACCCCAAGAGGAACACCTATTCAAAAAGAAATGAAATACCGCCCAATCGGAGGCCCCAAAAACACACATATATCCCCATGCGTAAATACAAATAAAAATACACCGCCGATATCCTGTCCGATCCACGGTGCTTCTGAGTCACACAACCTCTCCACATACATTGGTAGTGGGATCTCCCTCCAGGCCGCCGGCCAGTGGGATCCACCCCTAAATCAACAAAGTTCTTTTAGAATTTCCTTTCACAAACTCTCCAACTGAAAAAAAGAATTGCTACCACCTCCAAGAGCGTGGTCCCATTAGCAGTTGGATAAAAGTGTCGTCTATCCAGTGTGACCCTGTGTGGCAGCGGCCTCACAGGTTCAGTACAAATTTCCAGGCTGAGAAAACCAACCACCGGAAATCATGGTACCGTACAAGGGTGTTTGCCGTTGTTTTGGAAGGTCGCACTGGGTGCGGCCTTGATAATAAAAGTGCACTGATGGGACTGACCTCCTCGGGGCGCTCACCTCGGCAACCCCGCCT